AGAAAAATCTACTTGAGTACAGTAACAAAGTATTTGTACTTCGTTACTTCCCATCTCTGCATATTGAAGTCTGCTGGTTGCATGTCTTGTGAATTGGCACTATGTTAATAAACTAAAGTGGACTTTTTAGCCTAGTCAGTAAGAACGGAAAAAGAATTGCAAACTCACCGTGAAGAATACTGATGCGAGTAGAATTCCTACAGAAAATATGAGTCCTCTGCTGTTAAGATGGATCTGAGAAGACAGATGTTATACAAAATGGGTCCAAATGTCTAAGAAAACTCTCTCTGGTCTGATATTGCCCTTATAAAAATACATTTTGGTTTAATTCTGCGCTGATAAAGACTCACATTGGAGCCATAGTCGATGCAGAGGGTTTGGAGCGCCCATGGCAGACCCAGACCAACCAGGATGTCAAACACGTTGCTGCCAATGGAGTTGGAGATGGCCATGTCTCCCATACCTGAGACAAGTAGAGAAACACCATGAAGCTGCCTGATGAGCCACGGCTCCTGTTATCCTTACAGCAGGTGTCTGTACCTTGCCGGGCCACGATCACGCTGGCCATGCAGTCTGGGACGCTTGTGCCCGCCGCCAGGAAGGTGATTCCCATGATGACATCAGGAATGCCCAGGGTGAAGCCAATCACAGTCACCTAAAACCAGAATTAAGTGAGGAAGACTTTAAGCGAGCCAGAGTGGAATAGAGTAGAAAGAGCTGATTGGCTGATACACCAACAACACTATTATGTACAAGTGGCCAGTTTAAGTAAACAAGTTGGCAAATTTCAGGAAACAAGATGCTTGATGCCACCTCCTTTATGGCTTTGTGTCTGCACAAAGTGCTTCTTACTTTCCAGGATGGTGTGGAATCATAATTCCAGGACCAGTTTAGTTTTCAGCACCTCATTGCTTGCTGCCCACTCTACTGGCCACCTTGGTTCTTCACTTTTTTCTCCATTTATGTTGTGTTTTTGCCAAATCAAACCGCTTTATGCAATCAGTCAGACAAAGTAAGTCTACAGGTGAGTCCCAACAGCAATAATAAGCAGAGGAAGTAGTAAAATAACCAACATAACATAAGAAATAAGAGGAATGTATTTACGGTGCCCTCAAACATTTAGATGCTTGTTTGAATTACATTAATTATTTACTGTTGCTCAATTTCAGTTTCTTAATATAAGCCATATAAATGCTTCGTCTTCACCTGAAATCAAGACTAGATGGTTAAACTTGGACAAAACTGGATGTTTCATTGGACAATGAACTAAAACATGGGGGCGACAATAAAAATGGAAGTATGTGAGACCTGCAGCTGTGAAGAAACATCTTCCTCCATTATATATCTGAACCTGTGTTGTAATGATTAACCAGTGTGGAGTAAATAATGTTCATCTTTCAGTGTATTAAGAGTGAACTCACCATCCAGACCATGATGTACGAGAGGCCAGCGATCCAGATGGTGGCAGTGAAGAAGGAAAACATGAACCACCGTTCCCAGCGCTGCTTGGCACAGTTGGGTATGGTGAAGAAGAAGAGCAGGGACAGTGGCCACATGATCAACCACTTCAGCTTGTTGCAGACCCCCGCTGGAGGAAAACGGAGTTACTCAATATTTTCAATATCTACCCTACGAAAGGGACAGTTTTCTGTTGCATAAAACCTACTGAACATTTAACTTCAGGGACTTTAAAGAAAAGCTAAGACTATGTGACAAGCACAAGAAATTAAATCAGTTTTATTTAAACTAAATAAAGATAAAAAAAATGAAAATGTAGTATGCTGATTGATTGAAAAGTGAAAAGCAAGTGTTTATTTTTAGCATAGAAAAATGAACTAATCTTTTCTCATTTATCATGTAGACATGAGAGATTTCATTTTTTACATTTTATGAACTTGATTCCCTTTTCTTCAGAGGATAGACACATTGGCTGAATATATTTGAGAGCTGATTATTTGCAGCTTATATTTCATATATATAATTAAAACAACTTTGAACAAAGCAGGCCAATGGTTCATAATTCAAAGGCCACCTTCAGCTGTGAACTAAAAGAGAAGAAATTTCAATGTTACTTTAATTCAAGCGTTATGTTGTTTAAATTGACAATTATATTTCCGGT